TGCCTCACACCATGTAGCCAAGACTATGGACCTTATATCCAAGACAGAATCTACCAAAGATGGCCTGTTTGAGTTCTCTTGTTTATCAAGTTCAGTTTGTACTGTTCTCTCTCAGATAGAAAATGAAGTTATAAACATCTGAGTCTTGCTTGATTATCTTATAACTTATTTGATGAGTGGAACCAAAGCTCTTCAAGATAGTACAGAAACTGGTCTTGTAGATCTTCTGTATTATCTTACTTGTTCTCAGACTAACTTCTGCTTAGGCCAATCTTACATCTTCTATTGATTATCTAACCAACATTATTTCTTCTGGTTTTTGAAGTGTTGTAGAAATACTTCATTCTCTTCATACTTCTTTATCTGTAATATCTTTTTCTGTGACTGCATTTTCTGTTGTGGTTCTGTCTGTTGTCATATCAAACATACCTGCAACTTTTGAGCCTCACTTATCTATGGTCAGTTTGCCACTGTCACAGCTGTGTCTCAGATGCTCTCACAGTACATCTTCTTGCTATTAAATTCTTGATTTTGTAGGTGTGTCATAATTTTTATGTTTGTTTCATGTTATATTTATCTTTCTTTCTGTATATAGATTCATTTTTCTTCTTGTAATTTTATCTTTTCTTTAGATAATTCTTAAGAGTTTCTTGTGCATTTTTGAGATTTTCCTCAGGTTCCCACATCAATTCCTCTATAGGAAATTCTTTCCATTTTACTAGATAACATCTCTTGCAGTAGTGTGTTTTGTTGTCCAAGATTTTGTCTACTTCTTACTCATAATAGTCATCTACCAGTACCACAGGAGAACACATTGGCATCTCACCTGTTCTCATACAGTATAGTTCCAACAATGAGATATAGAAAATATTGTAGATCTGATAGCTTAGAGAGAGCTTCAGTCAATATGCATTATTTTCTATGGTCTCTATCACTGAGAAAGATTTATAGTACTTGTTGTCTAACTTCTTGCAAGAACATATTATTCATAGATTTCTTGATAACAACATCACTTCATCACCAGATACATACACTTTATCTTGACATCTTTGATTATAGAATCATGCTTGGTTCTCTTTTGCTTTCATTAAATGTTCTACCAGACTATTTCTTAATACAGAGATTATTCTCAGTCTTCTGTCAGATGCTGTCTGTGCATTGTCATCATTATCAACTAACTTCTGGATCTTGTCTGGTCTTCTAGGTTCAAAGCCATACATTACTTTGAACAGGGACATGTGTGTTGCAGAGTGTTCTGACCTGTTGTATGCAAATTCTGTATACACAAGTCACTTCTTTCAATTGTCTTGTCTATAACTATAATAGACACAAAGATATCTCTTCAAAATCTTGTTCAGTGTCTCTGTTTGGCTGTCTGTTTGTGGGTGGAATGCCATGCTAAGTTTTCATTTAACTTTCATGTGAAAACATAGCTCTGACCAGTATTCACTTGTGAAAACAGATTCCCAGTTTGAAATAATGTTATTTGAAAATCTGAAGTCTTTAAACACTCTTCTGAACAGAAGATTTGTCATCTCTGGTGTGTTAATCTTCTTTCTACATGCAAGAAAACATGCAAGCTTTGTAAATTGATCCACAATAATCAGAACTGCATTGTATGAGTTTCTCTCCTCTCCACTCAGAGGGAGGTCTGTTATAAAGTCTATAAATATTGAACACCAGAGATCATTGGATGTTGGTAATAATGCAAGCAACTTATATGGTTTGTGTGTTGGAGTCTTCTCTTGTTAGCAGATTTAGCATTTGTCTATATACATCTGTACATCTTGTCTTATTGATTGTTAATTGTATTTTCACCAGAGCAAGACAAACATCTTTGCCATGTCAAAGTAACCTGTGAATGAGTTGTTGTGGTGGACTCACAGTAGTTTCTGCCTTAGAGCCAGATTGTTAGAGATGTAGATCCTGCTACTCTTTGTCAAAAGATCTTGTTTATCTATTTTCTACTCTGACTGCTGAGATTCTGTCTTGATAAATCTTGCTTGTACAGAGGAATTGTCTCTCTGTGCTTCTAGCAATAGATTCAACACACTTATAGTTGATTTGTTATAGGTCTTTTAGTTTTTCATCACTATATTTACACACACACAGGGAATCCAGAATCTCCTGTAATTTCTTTGTTAAGCCTCCCCAGCATTTTTGACTAGTGCTCTCTGGACTGACTCAATCATCTTGATGTCACCAGATCTTCCCTGCACCATCTCTACTTCACTGCTTTGAACAGTGCAAGCAGCATATACTTAAATATCTTCTTTATTAAAGAAAGTTTCTTTAAATGGGTTCCACTCTGGAATATCATTCATGTAATGTTGTTTGAGCATATACATCAGCAGACTAATGTCTTCTTCTAGTTTGATATAATCTGGTCTTTATGATAATGCATCAGCTGGGTTATGCTTCCCAGAATAGTAGAGAATCTTAAAGTTATACACCTCAAGAACCTCTATTCACCTTATATGTTGTTGTTGTGCCACCTTGTTTGTGGACTTCATAAATAAATGAAGATTTGCATGATCTGTAATGATTTCTACAGAATACTTCATTTCTTCTAAGCACTGCTGTCAATAAACAAATACTTGAATGATGATCAACATCTTCTTATTCAGTATGCTATAGGCTTGTTGGATCTGGTCAAACTTGAATGACCAGTAGATAATTAGATGCCACCCATCTTCAAACAGCTGTAGCAATATCATACCTGTAGTATGTTCTGAAGTATCTGTCTCCAGATATATTCTACATTCTGGATTATAGTGCCAGATGACAGACTCTCTGGAGAAGATCACCTGCAACTTATGAAACACTTCTCTGGCAGCAGGTATCAGAAGAAAAGATTCTTTCTTTCTTTTTTTTTTACTGCTCTTCAAGAGATCTGTTAATAGCATCACAATAATCAAGTACTTTTGTATGAATCTTCAATAGAACTTTGCAAAACTCAGAAATATCTGGATATTATGGAAACTTCATGGCAAGGGCCACTTTATGATTGTCTGTACCTGCTTTGAGTCCATCTTAATATCTTTGTTATCAATGATATATCTGAGATATGAGATCATTTATCTTTTGAAAGCACACTTAGCAAGCTTTGCAAACAACTAATATTCTCTTAGACACTTCATAACTAGTCTAACATGTTTCTCATGCTCTCTCTCTGAGGCTGAGAAAATAAGAATATCATCTAGATAAACTACACAGCATACATCAACCAGGCCTGCCAGCACTCTATTGATATAGAACTGGAAGATTACTGGTGTGTTTGACAACTCAAAAGACATGACAAGATACTTAAAACTCCTAAACTTTGTACAAAATGTGGTCTTCTATTTGTCTTCTTCTTTGATCCTAATTCAGTGGTAAGCATTATATAGATCTATCTTGGAAAAGTAGCATGCTCCTGCCAACTAGCTTAACATCTTGTCTATCAACAGCAAGGGATAATGGTTCTTCACTGTGATTATGTTAAGACTATAATAATTGACACAGAGCCTGAGTTCTTCATCAGCTTTGGGTGCAAACAACACTGGAGCCTCTGTCAGACTTTGTGATAGATATATTCAACCCTTGCATAACTTGTTCTTGATGTACTCTTGTAGAATCTCTGTCTGCTTGAGCAATAGTCTATAGATTGGCATGTACAGAGGCTCACAGCTGTTTTTAAGAATAATTAGATGACTGATCTTCATTAATTCCAGTAACTCTGCTGCTTTTTCTTCTGAGAAAACATCTTTATAGTCTCTTAATCACTCAGATACTTCTGTCAGAACTTGGTTGTCATCTGACATAAAGATAATATAAGAGAGTTTGTTCTTGATGCACACTGCTTGGAGAAATCTATCTGCATTCAGAAGTTTCACTGTTTTCTTTAAGAATCAGTAACACCATGTCTTGTTCTTCCAGTTTATATCCAGGTTGAAATCTTCTAACCACAGCATGCCTAGAACTATATTCATGTTGATCATGTCAATCACTGTGAATGTATATTTTACCATCTTTGTGGTCTCCATGAAGTTCATTATAGTGAGTTGGGTCTTGTAGGTGCCATACCAATCAGTCTCAGCTCTGTTTAACATCTCAATGACTCCCATGGGTGTCTCTGATTGATCCCAGTCCAATTGGGACACCAGTTTATAGAAGATACTGTCCACTGTAGTACCTGAGTCCAACAGTGCAGCTTGCTCCATAAGATCATCTGATGGTGTAGTCAGTGGGCTGACAGATACATACTGCACCTGCTTGCCTTCTCTATTGGGTTAACACCCCATCTTTCTAATATTTGACCTGGGTCTTGCATGGGCTTTGCAGCTCTAGTCTTTGCCTGATTCTTATTCTTTTCATCTGTCTGCTGGAACTTGTTGAAGCCATTTGTACAGAACTTTGCTCTATAGTCTGATTAACTACATCTTAGGCAGAGCCCTTCATCCATTCATTATTTGTGTTTCTCTTTTAATATTTTTAGAAGTGGTTTCACCAGCATCTTTTTTGTTTGTGAATAATCTTCTTTGTTGTCTTGTTGGGATATATCTTTCTCTTGAGAGATTGAGATTTTCTATTTCTTCTCATTTTAATTCTTATTCCACTGACTTTGCTTCTTCTTTTCTAGAATGGACTTAATAAGTATTGCTTGTTCTTATAATTCTGCAACCATTTTTGGTTGGTGTTGCAGTTTATCCAGTTCAGTCTGGATAATTGATCTGAACTTCATCTGTAGAAAGAATACATAAAAGAATTCATCCAGTAAACTGTCCAGATCCTGTTCAAGTTCAGTAATGTACATGAAAAACAAGAGTATGGATTGGTTCTCTTGTTGAATAGTGTCATGATAATGCTGTATTGTGCCTCAACTACAAGTTATCTCAGATTTAATATTGTTCTTACACCACATCTCAAATTCATTTCATGATATGAGTAGTTGTTCTCTCTCTATTCCCAACATCTATTAATGCATCTGGAGTTTGTCACAAAAATAGCTAGACACCCAATTAATCCTGACCACATCTGGTGCCTTTCATAATAATTTTCTCAGGCAAAACTGCTGTCTTATTAAAGCTAATCACAATTTGCACTCACCAAGTGATTTGCCATGGTAGTAAGATGCTTTTAGTGACTTCACATCATCAAGATCATCTGACTCCTCTATCAGTCTTGTACATAAGAGGAACTCTAAAGAAAAATCATCATTTACTATTCTCTGTTTGTATTCTATCTGCTTCTGCAGCCTGTGTATCTTATTTTGTTCATATATATCTGCTAGATTCTTTTGCAGACATGCCTTCTTTTCTTCAAAGATCTCCTCCCTTTGAATTTTGTTCAATATATTGAGGGGTGTATCTCCATTGCTTGTATCATCTGCTGATGTCTTGCTGGTGGTGGCTTCACTGCTACCAGCATCTTTATCAATGTTCATCTTCTCCACATTAGTGTCTATCTCTGTTAGATCTGCAACATAGAGTGTTGTTGTGGTTTGTCTTGTGAGTCTTGGTGGCATTATACTGACTTAGGCAATCATATGTCAGAGTGTTCAGAATGTTAGGTGAACTGGTTGTAGATCATGTAGATTTTCCCAGAATTAGAGATATAAAAGAGCTAAGTAAATACAATGCCTGTAACTGATGGGAGAGAGTTGTGTGTAAAACATAGAGATCCTCTCACTTGGAGACTGAATGCTGAGGTTCCCATGATCTATATGAATCATGTGATTCTTATATGTTCAGTGTTGGAGTCATGTGAATACCCCTGAACATCCAACATCATCTGATGCTTGGTTGGTCTAGGTCTACATTCATAACAATATCTCAGAGTCCAAGGCCTCTGGAGGAGGGGATAGTGTTACAAATATAGATCTAGACCAACCAAGTATCAGACAACATCAGGTATTCAGAGCTATTCACATGACTCCAACTCTGAATGTATAAGGATCACACAATTCACAGAGATCATGGGAACACCAGCATTCAGTCTTCTAGTTAGAAAATCTCTATATTCTACACACAACTCCCTCTTATCAGTTGCAGGCATCATATACACTTAGCTCTTTTGTACTTCTAATTCTGGGAAAACCTATGTGACCTACAACCAGTTCTCCTAACATAGATAATATGCTATTAATAGTTTGAAATACAAACTCAAGTAACATAATATACAAGAATATAAGAAATTGTGTGCAGAAGATAAAGAAATATATAAAAGCTCTGAGCAGAATTTATATAACTAAACAAATTAAATTCAGAGAGACTCTCTCTAATAAGCAAATTAGGCTGGTATTTGGGACTGGGACAGAATCCCATTTCCCATTGAATCTGGTCCTGGTCCCAAATTTAGAAATAGCCAGAATCCCAAATATGAAATCTCAGTCCCATATTCCATTTTACTCAAGAGCTTGAGGTCCTGTTCCCATTCCTATTCCAGAAATTATTTCCCAGTCCTATTCTCAAATAGAAAATTATGTCCCACATTTCATTCCAGCAGAGATAGTAGACTTCCATTTCCCATTCCAGCCAGATCTATAGTGGGACTGGAATGAGATCAGAATTTCTGGTCCCATTATGTCAAATTTATAGAGAAGAGTCAAACTGATCAAATTTTGTGTGGACTGTTACCAAATTTTATTACTTTTTTGATAAAGGTGAAACCCATAGAAAAATTAATTTGATTATCAAAAGAAACAAAGTATTAAAACTAACTAATAGTCAAAGCCAGCAAATAAACAGAAACTGTCTAAATGGCAAGTTAATTATTATTATTATTATCTTCATCATTATTATTGTTCTTCTTCTTCTCTTACTTCTTCTTCTTCTTCTTTTTCTTTTTCTTCTCCTTTTTCTTCTTCTGCTTCTCCAGAACCAGCTTTGTGAACTGAACAGAGGCTCTAATATTCATCATTTGACAGACAGAGACCCTGACAGTACCAGAGAGAGACAGAGAGACAGTGGTGAGCAGTGGCAGTGGTGGTGGAGCAGCAGCCACAGTAGTTGACAGAGCAGGAGCAGCATACAGACAGCAGATGGTGACAGCAGAGACAGGGCAATCAGATACATCAATCAGGCCAAAATAGTTCAACCCAATTTTGGTACTGATGCCAAGAATAAGCTTCATATTATTGGTATTGACCATAACACACTTACAGTGTGCCATTGCCATAATAGAATCTATATTACTCAGTATAATTATTGGTGTTATTACTAAGAGTAACTTACACTTAAACAGAGTGCACAAGATTACTTCAGTTATCTTCTGAAGTAACTTAATAACAGTATATTGCCAGCAATATTTATATTCTTGATGACAGAACAAAGTAATTTTCCAAATTGATTATTAAAACAGAGCTACTGGCAAGATTAACTTGGTAGAGCTCTGAAAGTGGCAGATTTTCTTAATGATATCTATTTTCATCAATTAGCATCAAGACTGTTACTAAAAATTATTACTTTTTGATATATAAGTGCTGGCCTTTCAATTTTGAACAGAGAGATGGGGGCAGAGATTCTTCTAGTTAAAGTTGATCAGATCAACATCTTTATTAACTTTATGCTAATTACTCTTCTTCAGGGCTTATTCTTTCAATACAGTCTTGTGCCACTTCTCTCCAGCTGTGTGAAATGAACATGCACAGGGAAAACTAATATCTTGTCAGTAAATAATGTGTGCCAGAGCAGTATTCTGCAAGCACTCATCTCTTAATGTAATCCATTTTGTTGCAGTATATGTTCATTGTACACACAGATATTGAAGCTGCAGTAAATAAAAAGATGGTGAAGAGGGGAGAAGAGAGAGAAATAATCAATATTAGTCCTGAAGAGAAAGAAGAAGAAGAGAAAGAGAAAGAGAAAAGAAGAGAGACTAATCTGATGTTATTATTCTGTAGCCAGTATAGCAACAATGTGTTGATCTTGCTTATAGCAACATGCCTGTAGAATGTAAATAATATATATAGTAATCATTCTACAGTACTTGATCAATACACTCTATAATTTCATTATTCTGTAGCCAGTATAGCAACAACATGTTGAGCTTGCCTATAGTGACATGTCTGTAGAACACAAACAATGTGTATAGTAATTATTCTATGCAAGTACTTGATCAATATACTTTATAATCTCATTATTCTGTAGTCAGCAATTCAACTCATCACATATAATTATGAAGATGGGGCCAAAACAATATTCAATAAGAGAGAAGATCTGTGCAGTACAGAAGCACTGCCAGGTCTTGAAAGATCATTAAAAAGATATATTCAAGGCAGGAGAGATAGATTGCAAGATACATCATGATATGCTGAAGAGAATTCAAGCAAAACATGAGTGATATATACTCTTAGTGATTTGCATTGAATTATATTGACATCTATTGCAGGCAGAATAGCAGCAAGAAGAATCACAAGATAATTAAAGATAAAGTTATTAAAGAGTTGATGATCAAGCAATTTGTCAAGAGCAAGTTAAAGAAGTACTATAAGCACCAGCTCATGGTCTCTCAGCAAAAGAAGAAAGAGAAGGAGAAGAAGTATTAGAGCAGGGTACAATGAAATGCCTTGTCAAGATAGGCAAGTTGGTTGATATGGTGAGAGTGCAAGAAAGGTGAAAAATCACAACATAGTAAGAGTATAGTTGAGTAGTAAGTGTAGAGATAGGTATGTCCTAACAGATGCCTAAGCTCACAAGAAGTAATAGTACTAAAGAGCTCTGTACTAATACAGGCAGCTTTAATGAGGAACAGTAGCAAGTTTTATAAACAAGAAATCTTTATATTCCCTAACTAATAACCAAACTGGTAGTAAGAAACAAGTGTGTAGAAAAGAGCAATAATGTGTGAAGATAATAGGCAAGATGCAGGGGCTACAGATGATTTATATAGCTCAAGAATAGTAGCTTTAAAGTAGTTTGCATCTCAGACCAGAACAATCTTTGTTTTAATAAGATACTGGAATCCCCACTACATTTTCTTCTAATCTTTAATATTGGTGTCTTCTGACAACAAGCAACATATAAAATAAAATAAAATCAATTTAGTAAAATAAGAGAATAATAAATAGTAATGAGCACTCTGGTAAGAAAAAACATAGAAAATAAGAATAAGAAAAGTAATAGCAGCAATCTCTAATAGTGATTATTATAATCCTCTTCTTCCACCAAGTTCTCAGAAGAAGAAGAAGACTGAACTGATGCTGGATTAATATTGTTGTGCATGCAATATCAATAGAATTTATTACTAAAAGCTTTCTTTTCAATTTAGTAAGTCTTGATAATAGCATCCAGAGCAATTCATATAGTCTTTAGATGCCAGTTATTAATGAAGTCCTGAGTCTTTTTGTCATCAGGGCCAAAGAGAATATTGAGTTTCTTAATTACCATGGAGTTGTCCTATCTAATTTATTCTACCAGGGCATCTGATATAGCTTCTGAGCCTTGTAATTGAATAGTGGTAGGGAATTAATATGGAACTAATATGTAATGATTTGAATGACTGGATGAAGATGAAGACTCTGAAACTAGATCTCTATATGCAGCAGAGAGCTGGAACCATGTACCAGCTTTATTGACTTCTGGATGTCTATGATTCTCTTGGATTGTCATATACCAGAATAGCATAGTGCATTGGATCTTTTTGCATAGATCATGGGCTTCATAGGGTAGCAGAGGGCTTGTAATTTGAACATCACCAGGCTTGTAAATAATATTTGTCCATCTAATATCAAATTTTCTTTTATTATCTTTGGTATATATTGTATCTTTAATATGGTGAACATAGGCATCAGTAAATAAGTCTTGTTCTTTGACTAGTTCTTATTAATTCTCTAGATGATTATGCATTTCTGGCAAGATTTCTGTACAGTTGCCAGGCTCTTCTGCAGTTAAGATCAAGAATTCTTGTATTATGTTAATACCCCTTCCAGTAGTAATAGCATCTGGAATATTGACATTGATATGGCAAAACCCAGTTTTATTGCCTGGCTTAGCATACTTGATATAGTATGGATAGGAGATTAATTTTCAAGTGTGGTTGGGTCTTGTCAGTATGTACCATAGGTAGTATGTAGGGTTCTGATGCATAAGTTGTTGGCTGATACTGTGATACATTGTTCTCAACCATCTGTAATTATTATAATCTCTCATTATTTGCTGATGATGGTAGTACATGTTGTATTTGCTGTTGACCCAAGTAAGTACTGTGATAGTGATGTCTTGTAACTTATTGTTCCACCAGTGTATTAGCTGAAGAATAATAACAGATTCAGTGGTCTCCCATTCCTTCTAAAAATTGCTGGTGGTGAACTTGTTAACTCCAGTTATTTGTGTGTATTGATTAAAGTCAAAGGTCTTCATCTTTGTGACCAGAGAGATAATTAGCTGATGTTTGAATTTGTAAATATTTAAAGCATCTTCAGCTCTAGCTAGTCTATTTGCCAAATAAAACCAGAGATAGATGCTGTCATTAATCTTGACTGAGTTAATATTGTAATGATTCCTATGAATGTAAGTGTTGTGTTAGGTTTTTGGTGACTGGGAACCTCCCTGAGTTCTTTGAGTTCTTGAAGGTATCAAAGGGCTTAAAGAGAGCAACAACAGATTGGAGATAGTGATCAATAATTCAATAGTGCTCCAGTTGAGTAGGCAGTCTTGCTCTGATGACAAAGAGTTTCTGTACAGGTATATCAGAGTCAGGGCAAGACTATCATATCTTCTCAAGAGTAGTGGGATCAGGTATAATTGTACAGTATCACAAGACTTCAATGATATGAAAAGTAATCAAGATATAAAAGTATCTGATTCAAAGATATCTGTAAGATAGGTAAGAAGATTAATCACAATAAACAAGTTCATTGGATTTCTGGTAATAAGCATTCTTATATACATAATACTTTTCTGATGATACTTACAATACTTTCTTCCAGATTACTTATATTATAGTATCACAATACATGATACTCTCTTTTCTATATCTTGTCTCACTCATATTATTTCCTGGTCATGTGACTTCCCACTCTAAGATTTCTCCACAACAGTTTATAACTTTATCTTGTCAGATTTCATCCAATCATTCTGTGTCTTTGACTGCCATGTCACAAGTTTCATAATATCATTCTCTTCTTTTATAGCATGTTGTCCCCAACTGCTCTGCTTTCTTTTCTAGAATATAAAAGAGTGATTTCTTCTTCTTGTGTTTTTCTGTGCTCTTCTTTCTTAAGTGAGTGTCTTTATAGCTTAATCATAGCTTTCAAATCTGCCATTTGCAAGAATGCTCTGATCACTAATATTGAGAAATCAGGATTTATTATGATCTTCTCTTGTGTTCATTGTTCTTCTCTTAATAAGACATGTATTATGTCTTCTTGTTCTTCTTGATGCAGTGAGTGTATACATTCTGATTATTTATATGTTCATGATAATGGTTCTTCTGCTGAGAAGTGATGTTCTCTTGAAAAAGCTCAGAAGAAACTAGAGTCAGAGAAATATCAAGCTCTTAAGAAACAGATTTATATCTCTTCAAAACTTCTTTATCTTCAAAAACAAGAGTCCCTTCTTAACCATCATGGTAGTGATATGATAATTCAAGGTCTTTCTTCTTTGGAGGAATTGGAGCACTTGAAAGAGAAAGAGCAGAAAAGAGTGGCTGAGCAGACAGAGATCCAGAATCTGCTAGCTTTATTAAACAATCTTTCTTCTTCAGGCTCTTTTCTAGTTATTTCTGATTTGTTTGTTAATGCTTTGCTGAGTGAGGATATTATTAATGATACATCTCAATAATTATTCAGATATTCTTGAGGTTTTCTGTTGGTTCTCAGATGTTTTTCAAGATATCATACTCTTTTCATTTCACTAGATAGTGAAGTTTTTCACTGATCTTCTGATGATCTAGTATTTATTTGACTTTGTATTCTTGTTCTTCATCAATCTCTGTGGGCATTTCTTTGGTGTGTAGTGGTGCTTTTTTCAATAATGAGACATGAAATACTGGATGTATCTTCATCTTCTTGGATAGCTGGAGTTTGTAATTGACTTTTCCAATCCACTATGTGATTTTGTATGGTCCCAATTTTTTGAAATCAAGTTTTTCATTTGGTCATTTGGTTTTGATATTCTGTCAAATTAGAAATACTTTTTTCTTCTCTTTTAGAGTTGGTGCCTCCTGGCATCTTCTGTTGTAGTAATGCTTTATTCTTTTGTTCAGAAATTTGATGTTCAGTTTCATCTGGTTCTGCAGTTCTTGTAGTTGTATTGCTGTAAGTTCTGCTTTTTGAGCTTTTTATTATGTAATTCTTGGGTGTTTCTGTATTTTCAGTTCTCTGCTGTAGTTTATATAGAATAGTGTTATTTCTGTAGTGGCATTCTTTGCTCTGTTGTATGCTAATTATGCTATAGATAATAGTGTAACCCAATTGTTCTGTTGATAGTTGATATATTCTTACAGATATTGCTTTAAGATTTGATTCAGTCACTCTGCCTGTTCATCTGTCTGTGAATGATAGGCTGTTAATATTTTCTGTTCAATTCCCAATTGTGCCATCAGTATTGTTTAGAATTTGCTTGTGAATCTGGTGTCTCAGTTTGTACTTATTTCTTCTAGCATTCTGTGATTGGCAAGTATGATTTGCAGTACTATTAGTGCTGTATCTGGTGCTATTGTTGCTTCTCTGAATGGTATAAAGTATCCATACTTTGTCAATCTGTCAGTAACTACTAGTATTGAGTCATACTTCTTCTCTTTTATATTCTTTGAATTTGGGAGTTTTATGATGAAATTCATTACTATGAATCTCCATGGTCCTTGCAGTTGCAGTATTGGCTGTAGCTTTTCATATAGTTAGTGTTTGTTGGCTTTGCTTTGTGCACATGTCTCATATTCTTTGATATGTTGTTGAATATCCATCCACATTCCTGGCCAATAATAGATTCTTGTGATTTTTTCTATTATTTTGTTGATCTCAAAATGTCCTGCAGTGATTATGTCATGTTCTTGTACCATCACTTGCTTTCTGACTTCTCTGAGTACATATATCAGTTTATAATATAGTATTATTCCATCTTCTTCTTTAAAGTTCTTATTTTCTTTGTTGATTTTTCTTGCATATTCATCTTTCTTCATTGCTTCTTTAATTCTTTTCACAATATCTAATTCTTTCATGGTGATTCTTGTCACTCTCAATATTTGTTAGTCCAGAACCATATTCTTTATTTTTTCCAACTCTTTGAAGAGTGTTCTTGAATCTTGTTCTTTTCTTATAAGATCTGTTCTTCAGCTTAATGTGTCCACTCAGGCATTTTCTGTATCTTTGCAGTGTCATATTCTGAAGTTGTAGTGTATCAGTACATCTGTGTACTATCTGGCTTGTCATCTTATAAGTTCTTTGGTTGTTATAAAGTATCACAGATTGTTGTGCTCTGAGATAATCTCTGTCTGGTGTTAATTTTCTTGTAGTTCAATCTTCTATTTTTTCAGTAATGCCACTATTGCAAGTAGTTTCTTGTTGTGGATATTGTAGTTTTGTTCAGCTGGTGTCATTATTCTTGCATAGTATATAACTAGTTATAGTCTTTCTTGTTTATCTGGTTGTTGTAGTCTTTCCACTATTGCACAGTCTGATGTATCTGTATCAATCACACATTTCTTTGTTGGATTATAGTGTTGTCTTATCTCTTCTTTTCTGAACTTGTTTTTTATTGCTTCAAATGCTTGTTGACACTTCATTGTCTATTTAAATACTTTGTCTTTCTTGAATAGCTGTGTGAGCAGTCTCACTTCCTTTAAAAATCTGTGTATGAACTGTTGATAGTAATTCACTAGTTTATAAAACATCTGAACTTCTTTGACTTTCTTTGGTATTGGCTATTGTAGTATTTTGTTGATTTTTTCTGGCTTCATTCATATTTCTTCTATTGACACAATGTGTCTAAGATATTCAATCTTCTTCTTGAAGAAGTCATACTTCTTTAGCTTTGCTGATAGATTGTATTTTTATAGTTTTTCTAGTACTTTCTTGACTTTTCCAGTGTGATTCTTTTGGTCTTCTTTGGTCAATATAACCACATCATCAAGGTATGCAATGACAAAATTGTCTAGGTACTCTTGCAGTACATTATTGATAAGTGCTTGGAATATTACTGGTGCATTTATTAGTTCAAACAGCATGATGTTGTATTTGTACAGTCCATATCATGTTCTGAAAGCTGTTTTCCACTTATTGTCTTCTTTAATTCATATCTGGTAGTAGGTGTCTTTGATGTTAATTAGAGTAAACCATGTTACTCCCCTTAATCTGTCTTGCACTTCTTCAATCAGTAGTATCAGATAGCAATTCTTGACTGTGATGCTGTTCAACTGTCTGTAATCTATATATAGTTATAAAGTTCTGTCTTTCTTTAATACAAACAGTATTAGATATTCTGCCAGTGATATTGACTCTCTGATATAATCTTTTTTGAGATTATTCTCAATGTATTTTTTTACTTCAGCTGATTCTTTCTCATTCAACTAGTATATTAGCAATTTCACTGGTTGTTTTCTATCTTGTAGCTTTATCTTGTGGTTCCAGGGTTCATGCTTTGGTAGACTGTTGCTCTGATCTCTTTTTCTGAATACATCAATATATTCCCAGAATTCTTCTGGTAGAGTTTCCTTGATTTTTTCATTCTGGTCATTCTTTTGTATTTGCAGCTGTTCCAAGTCATTGGGGTTCTTTATGACTTGATTTACTTTGTCATCATGGGTCAGGTTTCTATGAATTTCTTTAATGTTGATTGATTGTTCTTTATGCAGTATCTTCTTGTTGATCTGACTTATTACAGTCAGTGTCTCATCTAAGTTATTTCTAAGTATGGGTCTCCAATCATAGTATACTGGTTTGAGAGAGCATTCATAATTTATTAGTCTAATCTTTTCTTCTCATCAGTCAATTTCTGGATTGTGTTGCTTTAACCAAGAATATCTCAAGACTATATTATAGTCTTCTAAGTTTGTCACTTCAAAATGCACTTTCTTATGATGTTGTTCTATTCTTATTCTGATGAAATAGATCTCTTCTTTAACTCTATCAAGAGTTTCTTCTCCCAGTTCTGATAACTGATAGAGATATTTCTTTATTCACTTTATAATGCCAGCTTGTTTAGTGAATCTTCTGTCAATAAATAGTCTGGTTGTTTCTGAGTTTACTAGAATTATTGCACACTTTAATTCAAGTAAGATTACTATAACTCTGAGATGACAGATTTGTTTATTAATGGCTAACAGTTTTGCTTGCCTATTCATACTGCTCACAGGCTCTTGTTTATAGTAGTCTTCTCATTTTCCAAATTAATAAGAGTTATCTTGAGTACTTGTTTGTGTATTTTGCAATCATTTCCATCAGTACATTATTTCTTATGTATTTTTCATATATACTTGTTGTCTCTGCATTCTGTGCAGTTTTCATATTCTTCTAAACCATGCAGGGATCTCATTATTTTTCAAAATCTTTTATCTTCATGAAATTTGCATTGGCATTTATACTCAAATTCATTATAACATGGGTGGTTTGATTTTTCCATCTCTTTCTGTTTTCATTCCAGTGCTATCTGTATATTGTTATCACTAGTAATTTGTTTTCTTCTTCACATGTGGTTCAGTGCAATTGGTTCTCTTGAATTTATAATATTCTTATCATTGGGCATTTTGCCTCTTCAGATATTACACTTTTTATGAGACTGAGTTTCTTCAAGACATCTTCTTTATGTTTCTTAGATTCTAGTATTTCCCACCTTGGTTCTTTCTTCAGCTTTGGTGTGGTTGTTGATTTTTTACTTAAGCAATATTCTTTATTATTGCTGTGATCTTGTTTTTGAGTTACTTATAACTTTTTCAGTAGTTATAGGTAGTATTCTCTGTTCTTTTCATCTCTGTAGATAGAATAATTATTGTTATAGCAAAAGCTTCAATAAATTCTAGCATGATCTGAATATTCTGTAGATAAGATATTCTGTAGGTCTGGCATTTCCCATTCTTCTTTCTCAGTGTCATATTTGCAATACTGGTAATTCTTGATATTGCAACTATAGTCTTCATAATACATAAAGTCTTCTATAATCTATGTCTATTATTTGAACTTTTCTTGTTATTTCTGGTGAAGCTTGCATGAACATTTATAGATTAGATACTAAGCATGTTTCTTGTGCTTTGGGTTCTGAATTTTGTTCATTTTCTTTCAGTAGTGATATTTATGGTCAAGTAATTAAATTCTCCAATTATCACTTGATTTGCTTCTCATTCTCACACATAATTCTTTACATAACTCCCATTTTTCATCATCCAGCTGGTTTCAGTATTTCAGTTCATCTTTTAACTACTGAAGTAGCTTCAGATAGACTTTTATAACTTGTTCTTTAAATATCTTTCTGAACTGTTGTTGGAGTTTTTCTTTAATTTACTCTTTCTGAGTTGTTACTCAGAGATATTATTTGACTTTAGAATCTTCTTCATTTTCTTTTGAGATTGCTCTGAGTTTCTTATCTCTTTACTCTACTTTCTTTGCTCTGCACTATCTTGCTCAGTATCTGAGCTTGACACAATAGAAGTATAATTTTTCTTTCTTTCTCTGCTCTTTTTCTTTCTTATCAAGCATATCAACTTTTATTGCATCCAGCTTCATGAGTGTGTGTTTATAAGAGTTCAGTTGTACATGTTTGCTCCAGTCTCATCTTCCAGTGTGGTTCAATAAACTGGGTCACTTTCATAACACTTTTTCTTGCTTTTCCATCTTTCATTTATAAAGTTAGTTCCCAATTCTGACTGCCACTTCAATCATCTTGATCAGAGTGTGTGATTATTTTTCCAATCATACCATTTCATTTTTGATCTTATTGAATAGTTCTTGATAGAAAGTGTTAGCTAAGGCTTCATCATTCCAGTCAGTATTAATACTGACTTGCTGGAATCTCATGACATATTCTTGTGGTGATATCTTTTGTTGTATGTAGTGTAACTGCTGGACTGCTACATTTCATTCTTTAACTTCTCTGAAAGTGATTTTTAATATTTAAATAAAGATGTTATAACTGTCAATAATCTTAAGCATATTGTTGTCCTGATTGACTTTATCTCTCTTATAATAATTCCACAGATAGGCATCAAATCAATCAAATGCTGCTTCACAAAAGTATAATGCTGCCATTATTATCTTGTTCTTATTATTACTGAGTTCTTTGTCTTTTATATTCATGTAGATATGCAGTTGTCTTAAGAAAGCTTGTAATTTTTCTTGTTTGCTCTTGAAGAGTTCTGGTAGATTGACTTTGACTTCATCTTTCTTTTTCTGTTGTCTGATGAATGAGATGGCCATGATCTAGGTCTCAAGCTGCTCATTATAATTTTTTAACTTGTGGTTCTGCTCTTCAAGTCTCTTGGTAATCTGTTCAAGCTGCAAGATTCTATTTATAAGATCTTAAGTATTGATGGCTGGTGCTTTGAATGCAGACATGGTTTCTATACTTTATTAGGTCTTGATGTGGGGTGGGGGTCATATCTTTATACTTGATATGATGCAGAAAGTTCTTTCTTTATATATAATCTCTGAAGTCTCAGATATATTCTCTCCTGAGTTAGAGATAATCAATATGTTATATTAGATTTTTGGTGACTGAGAATCTCTCTGGGTTCTTTGGATTCTTGAAGATATCAAAAAGCTCAAAGAGAGCAACAACAGATTGAAGATAGTGATCAATAATTTAATGGTGCTCCAGTTGAGTAGGCAGTCTTGCTCTGATAACAAAGAGTTTCTGTACAGATATATCAGAGTCAGGGCAAGACTATCATGTCTTCTCAAGTGTAGCAGAATCAGATATAATTATACAGTATCACAAGACTTCAATAGTATAAAAAGTAATCAAGATATGAAAGTATCTGATTCAAAGATATCTGTAAGATAGATAAGAAGATTGATTATAATAAACAAGTCCATTAAATCTCTGGTAATAAGCATTCTTATATACATGATGCTCTTCTGGTAATACTTGCAATACTTCTTTCCAGATTGCTTATATTGTAGTATCACAATACATGATACTCCCTTTTCTATATCTCATCTCACTCATATTATTTCCTGGTCACATGACTTCCTGCTCTAAGGTTTCTCCACAATGGTCTGTGACTCCATCTTGTCAGATTTCATCCAATTGTCCTGTGTCTTTGGCTGCTGTGCCACAAGTTTCATAACAGTAAGCCAAATAATTGAGAAGCTTCTCTCTATTAAGTGTGTGAGTCTGTAAATCAAGTTTTGAAGCTATTAGTTTAGCATGATTATAGTATAGGTAGATGTCAGCTTTCTTATTGCTAAAGATCTTTTCTAATTGCTTCAGAATGTAAATAAGCTCCAATTCTGAACATATTTTAGTACTCTTTATCTTTTGAAGAAGCTGCTGTTCAAAACCACAGCAACAGCAAGTATCAGAGCATACTGCTATAACAGATTCTTCTCATTCATGTTAGGGTATTTCCTCATCACTTTCAGAAGAAATAACAGACTCATCTTCATTATCTAGGTTTTAGAGGGTTTGGTGTGCTGACATGGCTGCAATTCTCTCACTGTGTTGTGTTAGGCTTTTGGTGACTTGGAACCCTCCTGGGTTCTTTGGGTTCTTGAAGGTATCAAAGGGCTTAAAGAGGGCAACAACAGATTAAGTAGTGATCAATAATTCAATGGTGCTCTGGTTGAGTGGGCAGTCTTGCTCTGATGACAAAGGGTTTCTGTACAGGTATATTAGAGTCAGAGCAAGGCTATTGTATCTTCTCAAGAGTAGTAGAATCAGGTACAATCATACAGTATCACAAGACTTCAATAGTATAGAAAGTAACCAAGATATGAAAGTATCTGATTCAAAGATATCTGTAAGATAGATAAGAAGATTAATCATAATGAACAAGTTCATCAGATCTCTAGTAATAAGCATTCTTATATACATGATGCTCTTCTGATGATACTTGTGATACTTCCTTCCAGATTGCTTATGTTATAGTATTACAATACATGATACTCTCTTTTCTATATCTCATCTCACTCATATCATTTCCTGGTCATGTGACTTCCCACTCTAAGATTTCTCCACAACAGTTTATAACTTTATCTTGTCAGATTTCATCCAATCATTCTGTGTCTTTGACTGCCATGTCACAAGTTTCATAACATCATCCCCTTCTTTCACAGTATGTTGTCTCCAATCACTCTGCTTTCTTTTCTGAAGTATAAAAGAGTGATTTCTTCTTCTTATATTTTTCTGTGCCCTTCTTTCTTAAGTGAGTGTTTTCATAGCTTAACCATGACTTTCAAATCTGCCATTTGCAAGAATGCTTTGATCATTAATATTGAGAAATCAGCCTTTATTATAGTCTTCTCTTGTGTTCATTGTTCTTCTCTTAACAAGATATATATTATGTCTTCTCATTCTTCTCAGTGCAGTGAGTGTGTGCATTTCAGTTATTCATGTGTTTGTGACAATGGTCCTTCTGTCAAGAAGTAGTGTTCTCTTGAAAAAGCTCAGAAGAAACTGGAGTCAGAGAAATACCAAGCTCTCAAGAAACAAATTTACATCTCTTCAAAACTTCTTTGTCTTCAAAAACAAGAATCTCTTCTTAAACATCATGGTAGCAATATGATAGTTTGGGGTCTTTCTTCTTTGGAGAAATTGGAGCACTTGAAAGAGGAAGAGCAGAAAAGAGTGGCTGAGCAGACAGAGATTCAGAATCTGCTTGCTTTATTAAACAATTTTTCTTCTTCAGGCTCTCTTCTAGTTATTTCCAATTCATTTATTAATGCTTTGCTGAGTGAGGGTGTTATTAATGATACATCTTAATAATTGTCTAGATGTTCTTGAGGTTTTCTGTTGGTTCCCAGGTGTTTTCTGAGGTATTGTATCCTTTCCATTTCACTAGATAGTGAAGTTTTCTGCTGATCTTCTGATGATCTAGTATCTATTTAACTTTGTATTCTTGTTCTTTGTTGATCTCTGTGGGCATTTCTTTGGTGTGTAGTGATGCTTTTTCTAATAATAAGATATGAAATACTGGGTGTATATTCATCTTCTTGAGTAGCTGGAGTTTGTAATTGACTTTTCCATTCTGCTTTATGATTTTGTATGATCTTAATTTTTTGAAATCAAGTTTTTTGCTTGGTTGTTTGATTTTGATATTCTATCAAATTAGAAATACTTTTTTCTCCTCTTTTAGAGTTGGTGCCTCCTGGTGTCTTCTGTTATAGTAATGCTTCATTCTTTTGTTCAGGAATTCAATGTCCAGTTTTATCTGGTTCTGCAGTTCTTATAGTTGTATTGCTGTAAGTTCTGCTTCTTGAGTTTTTTGTCATGCAATTCTCAGTTATTTCTGTATTTCCAGTTCTCTACTATAGTTTATATAGAATAGTGTCATTTCTGTAGTGGCATTCTTCACTTTATTATATGCCAATTGTGCCATAGGTAGTAGTATAACCCAATTGTTCTGTTGATAGTTGATATATTCTTACAGATATTGCTTCAAGATTTAGTTTAGTCACTCTGTCTGTCCATCTGTCTGTGAATAATAGGCTGTTGACATTTTCTGTTTAATTTCTATTTGTGCCATCAGTGTTATCTAGAATTTGCTTGTGAATCTGATATCTTAGTCTGTGATTATTTCTTCTGGCATTCCATGGTTGGCAAGCATATTTCACAGTACTATCAGTGCCATATCTGGTGCTGTTATTGCTTCTCTGAACAGTATGAAGTATCCATACTTCATCAATCTGTCAGTGATTACTAGTATTAAGTTGTACTTTTTTTCTTTCATATTCTTTGAATTCAGAAGTTTCATGATGAAATCTATTGCTATGAATTTCCATGGTTCTTACAGTTGTAGTATTGGCTGTAGCTTTCCATATGGTCAGTGTTTGTTGGCTTTGCTTTATGCATATGTCTCACATTCTTTAACATGTTGTCAAATATCTATTTACATTCCTGATCAATAATAGGTTCTTGTGATTTTTTTCATTATTTTGTGAATTTCAAAATGTTCTGTAGTGATTGTATCATGTTCTTGTACTATCACTTGCTTTCTGGCTTCTCTGGGTACATATATCAGTTCATAATATAGTATCATTCCATCTTCTTCTTTGAAGTTCTTATTTTCTTTGTTAATCTTTCTTGCATATTTATCTTTCTTTATTACTTCTTTGATTCTTTCCTCAATATCCAATCCTTCTGTAGTGATTCTTGTTACTCTTAACATTTGTCAGTCCAGAACCATATTCTTTATTCCTTCCAACTCTTTAAAGAGTGTTCTTGAATCTTGTTCTTTTCTCATAAGATTTAGTCTTTGACTTAATGTATCCACTCAGACATTTTCTGTGTCTTTGCAGTATTATATTCTGAAGTTATAGTGTACCAGTATATCTATATATCATCTGGCTTGTTGTCTTGTAAGTTCTTTGGTCATCATAAAGTATTGCAGGTTGTTGTGATCTAAGATAATCTCTGTCTGGTATTAATTTCCTTGTAATTCAATCTTCTATTTTTTCAGTGATGCCACTATTGCAAGTAGTTCCTTGTTGTGAATATTATAGTTTTGTTCAGCTGATATCATTGTTCTTGTGTAGCATGTGACTAGTTGTAGTCTTTCTTGTTTATCTGATTATTGTAGTCTTTCTGCTATCATACAGTCTGATGCATCTGTATCAATTACACATCTCTTTGTCAGATTGTAGTGTTGTCTCATCTCTTCTTTTCTGAACTTGTCTTTTATTGCTTCAAATGCTTGTTGACACTTTGTTGTCCATTTGAACACTTTGTCTTTCTTGAATAGCTGTATAAGCAGTCTCACTTTCTTTGAAAATCTATGTATGAACTGTCAGTAGTAATTCACTAGTCTGTAAAACATCTGAACTTCTTTGACTTTCTTTAATATTGACCATTGTAGTATTTCATCAATTTTTCCTGGCTCTATTTGTATTTCTTCTGTTGATATGATATGTCCAAGGTATCTGATCTTCTTCTTGAAGAAGTCATACTTCTTTAGCTTTGCTGGTAGGTTGTATTTTTATAGTTTTTCCAGTACTTTCTTGACTTTTCCAGTGTAATTCTTTCAGTCTTCTTTGGTGAATATAACCACATTATCAAGGTATTTTGTTCTGGGGTCTGTTTTCCATTCATCACCTTCTTTGATTCATATCTGGTGGTAGGCATCTTTGATGTTGATTAGAGTAAACTATGTTACTCCCCTCAATCTGTCTTGCACTTTTTTGATCAGTGGTATCAGATAGCAGTTCTTGACCATGATGCTGTTCAACTGTCTCTAATCCACACATAGTTGTAAAGTTCC